TAACGGTAGTCCCTCTCCAGTATACCAAATTTTCTTTACTCCTATTTCGTAATATTTCTCTAATATCACACTTGGAATATCTTCTAAGGAACCATGGAATTCCTCAAACTTTCGAAGATATTCTCTTGCAGTTTTATCGGCCTCTTCTGCTATTTCTTGATTAGTGTAGCCAACGATACTGAGTTTATCCTGAATTGCTATTATATCATCTTCTAAACATAAAAGCAAATTATATATTTACCCATATGATATATCTGTAGAAGCTTTATAACTCCTAAGTTCCACTTCTAGGATGGGACTGCCTTCGATGTTGAGTTCCTCCTGTATTGGTAACATATCTCCCACCAAATCTAACAACAACTCATATGAATCGGCAAGTGTTATCTCTTACTTGCTTTGACGCACTGCCTCTTGATTTGCTTTGGCATTAATACTGAGTTTTTTCTGAATAGCTATTATATCTTTCTTCTTATATAAAAACACTTCATATAATTTATCAAGTGATTCTTTCGTAAGAGTATTGTTATTCACCATGATTGCTAATAGTAAAGTAATATATTTAATGCGGAAAATTTTACCGAAGGTGCCTATGGCCGAGTCCGGAATACTGATCATCAAGCTGGAGCGGTAATCGCCAGTTCGGAAGATTTTTTACTGGGCCACGTATTGTGTGATAAAAAATAGGCTGATCACATAATAGGTCTGTGCGACATAATAATTTTTGCATATATTCGAAAAAGAAATCATATTAACCTTTAGTCTATTTTTTTCCTGAACAAACATGAGAAAAATGTGAAGGGAGCTCTAGTTACAACACAGGACCAGCTCTAAAGGTAAATACTGACGTCAAAAGCATATGTTATAAAAGGCTGAAGAAGTCACAATTTCGAGATCGCTAGGCGTAAAACCAAAAGTGTCTTTCCGGTAGATCTACATTGTGAAAAGGTATGAAGATTCCATTTGCATGTGCTTTCATGAAGCTCTTGGCATCAGACGACCAAACTAATTACGTCTTATATCTCCTTAAATTTTCCTGAGCAAGATATAAAGCATGTAGTGGTATGTGGAAGTTCCCGTCTACCAACTTTCCGCAAAAAACTTTCCCAGAGAAAATAACGCAAAATAAGGTATGTATATGCCCTAAATTATGTATGTATGGAAGGGTCCTAGAGGGACCGAGCGAGTTTTTCTCACCATGGGTCTTGTATTTAGGAAAGCAAGATTAGTATCAGCAACGGTAATAATATTTTAAGCCTTAATTGCGTTATTCCTGGTGATGAATTCAAAGATATTTTCACGTTGGAGATATCTGAAGATAAGATGGTCAACCAGCTCAAACCAATGATCAGAAAGTGGTGGCCAAACTGATTCCAACATATCGATCCAAGTAAACTTATTCTCTACAAAGAACTTAGTGAGAAATTTGGCTTTAGTTTTCCTCGAAACCTTAAAAAAGGAGAAGGAGGGTAATAAGAATTATGGACAACGCTTGCCTTCACTGACAAGGATCAGAACACATTTTAGTAACGATCAAGAAACATATTTCGCTAGCATTAAGCCAGATGAAAATAGAGTCAGCACCAAGCTCCTTGCAACAAGAGAAATTGGAGACTACTGGACTGAGAAACCGCCTAAGAGGAATATTCATGTTATAGTCGAACCGCCAGAGACTATTGCCACTTCGAGCCGAGAGCAGGAATTACTTGACCGCATCGCATCGTTGGAAGCATCGCTCAATAAGTCCGTCTATGGTATATAGTGTGAAAAAATTGGCCAAGAAAAAAATTTTACTAATACATGCTATTCCATTACAGAGTTCGACGTTATCATTAAACCGAAACAGAAGGCAAATAAGTGGATAGCGAATATCGAACATGCAACTCTCAAAGACCTTAAAGAATACATACGAGGATTGTATAAATCACCAGCGCTTGAAAATGATAAGGCGGTACTTAACTTCATGAATGATGAGAGGAGATATTATCCTAGGAATGATGTTTCGTTCCAGGAGATTTTGCGGTCGCTAATTTCAAAAAGCAACCCTAAATTTACCGTATTCATCGAGACACCATCAAAACCTTTCAATTTCTGGACCTTCCAGAAAGTATGTGAGCTATAAGACCTTAGTAAAGATCCAAATCCCAACATCGATGTGTACTCCCGTTTTGAATGTGGTTTTGCTGACCTAAATGACGAAAACTCCAAGTCCGCGATCAAGCATCTAATGGCTGAATTGGACCTTCGTAAAAAGACAACCCCATTGGTATTGGCATATGAGGCAACGAAATCTATCTATTCGTACTGTTACTTAGCCAGCGGTGTATCATTGTTCGAGAATAATTTCAAAATCGTACTGGAGAAACTTGTCAAGGGACATAACGGTCAGGGAAACCTAGATTTGGCGATAGAATGTCGTTCAACCAGAAGGATAGCTGGATTAGTCAAGGTCAAAAGAGATGACTTTAAACAGGGTATCGCACAAGCCACTATGCAGATGGAATCATCTCTAACTTGCCGTAAATGCAAAGCTAGTGAAATTGATGATGAAAAAAAAATGGATATAGTATGGGGTATAGTGACTGATGCGGAAAAATGGTACTTTATGGAGTGTACGTTTGATAAAGAAAAAAAGCCAGCGTTTAAGCTATCGAAACCTGTGATTGTTGAATATGATGATGAGAATTTGCAAGCTAAGGTAGAAAAAGTCCTTGCTTATATTGTTTGGTTGTTGGATGAGACACAGAAGCTGGTAGAAATTTTTTGAAGTGGGAAGAGGGAAATAAAAAGGGTAAGGTCAGGCGATCTTGTGGGGAAAAAGAATTAGAATTTAGGAATAGAAAATTCATCATGTATCACAGGCTATGTCCCGAACTTTGTATTTATTTTTGCATGTATTAATAAAAAATTTTTTTTGGCAAAAGTGATCTGCGTTCCAAATTGGAACGGACATGTGATCTTATTTAATTTGAATATTTAGTGTACTAAACAAGTGTTATCAATCATGTCAAACGCACAATCTATTGATTCATTAAGAGAGGTAAATGCTAGGCTCTTAGTTGAGATTTCCGAACTCAGGAGGAAGTTTGCAGAGGTTGAGGCTGAGAATACGAAGCTAAAGCAGATTATTGAGGAAAATGCCAGGCGTGATGCTAGAGTTGAGGAATTAGAGCAAAAAAATACAGAGCTTGAGGCCAGACTCGCGATAGTGGAACAGGGTTCCTTGGTAGTGGATGATCAGCTACATAAAGAAGCAATATCAAAGAGATTTGTAGAGCAAACCGTATCAGATGTTGATTTATCCAGCTCTGTGACAAACCAGCGAAATAATGATGATGCCAAGACATCGGAGGAAAAGGAGATGGATGCTTTCTTGGTTGAGGTAAATAAGAAAAGCATTAGTGATAAAATTAGAGAGAGCAGGCGAGAAAAGAAGGTTCTGGATAAGATGATTGCCAAAGACTCATCCTCCGTTACATTAAACTTGACTCATTGTGAGGAGGACCTCTCCATGACTAGCACTGAACTTGTAACTCTCCCAGAACAGGTAGTCAAAGAATCAATTCCAGCCTGTAAGTCAGTTACCTCTGGTAACAAATCATCTGCTGGGACATCACCAGTAAAATTGTCTATGGCGGACAAACAGGCTCTGGCTTCTGAGAACACAGAGACAGAGTGTCAAAAAATTCCTTATAATCAAAAAGTGGAGCAAGATTTGAGACGGGAGCTATCCTCCATTGAAGTTGGTGATGGTAAGATTAATAAAGCGTTTGATATTCAGATTCCTGAACTCTCTTTAGAAGCAATTCTTATGGGATCTAGTGAAGTTACGGCACAGAATATAGTTGATCTATTTAGAGTAGCAATGAAGCTTAGACGTAAGGAGATTTTATGCTGGTATTGTTACTATAAAGCATATGAGGATCGAGTCAGGGACGTTAAGTCTAAGAATGGTGTTGATGACAAATCAGCAAGAACATTGGTGTACAGCGAAATCAAAACCCTGCTTCCTGACATTACTGATGTAAACTTGCGTAAAATAACTTTCAGAGCTAAAAAAATCTATATATTGTTTGATGGGATAGGAATAAATAGAATCCAAATAATTAACTGTAGTGCAAGTGCCATCTCGAATTTATCTGATAATCAGATCCAGGATATTATAAATGATTTTCCCAAAAAAGCTACTAATACGGATGATGTAGGTTATGAAGACTCCGTTCCAAATTGGAATGAACACGTGACTTCGAAAACCAATAAGACTGAGATGCAAGTGAATCCCTTGGAAGCAAGTACATCGGCAAGTGTATCACCTACATCCCAATCTAAGCCAACTCATGACCGATCCTATTTTCACAACAAAACATTGGATCAATATCCTACTTTATATAGAGAATTTAGTAGTGAAAATTTTGATTATTATGGCATTACTGATGAGACATCATGCCCATTATGCAAGTTAGATCATAATAATGAAGAAAATATAGAAGGTAGATATAAAGCTGGTTCTTATTTTATTAAATGTGAACAGCGTGAAATTGAGATAGTTGCATAGTCTCATTATTTTACAATACTATATTTGCGTTTCTCTTGAGAAACCATTTTTTTACAGGGCTAATTTATGTTGACTATTACCTACTGTAATTTAAATTGATTCGCAATCATAGAAAAGGCAATATGATCAAGTCCGATAAAGTATTAACTCCCGAATATCTGGATTGGCATGCCAGATTAACTGGTTTACCAAGTATTTTAACAGATAAGATTCGGTCTAACTTATATAAAAAATATAAAAAAGAAACCGGACATGAGCCATGGCAATTATCAAAAGCTGTGACAAGTACATCTGCAAAATCTCAGGCCACTGATTTCAAGCCTATCACTTACGAAGCCAAACCCTATCCAGAATTAATTATCGAATCCGTCTTAAAGCATTTCACATACCTAAAATTCCGAAATAGTTTCAGAGGGATTGATAATTATAATTTTGCATCACCTCAGCCATGGAACTCACCATGCCCTATCTGCAATGGAAAGCATGGGAATTATGGATTACATGGCGAATGGTATAAAAATGAAACGGAATATTGTCTTACTTGCTTCACTTCAAGCAATAAATTCAAATTCACAATCGTAGCTACGTGATGGCATTGTTGCATCAGATATTATTCCGCAGTGTAAACAAAAATATGTATTTTTTTTATTTACAATCAATAAAG